CACAGACACTTCCCTGGCTCAGAAACACTGTATTTACTGCAGTGCCATCTAATGGCCAGAGAAGGTAATGCATACCATATTTGCATTTAAAAGCAGCCTGTGGCTCTGTCCTGGGTGTTACTTTTTAAAAAATATAGTATGCAGAAGGTATTATATTTATTAATATTAAAATGAAAACTTTGGTTAAAAGCCCTAAGAACTTCCTATGTTTTCTGGTGACATTTATGAAGCTGTTCATAATTAGATGCCAATCCTATACAACCACTATGACTTTGCATTTATTTGGAAGCTGTTTTCTCTCTTTTCTTTTTTCTTCTCTTTTTTCTTTTGTTTCCTTTATTTTCCTTTCTTTTCCTTCCTTCCTTCTTTCAGTTTTTTTGTGTTTTTGAGACAGGATCTCATGTAGCCCAGGCTGGTCACAAACTGGCTATGTAGCTGAGGATGACCTTGAACTTATGATCTTCCTGCCTCCACCTCCCAAGCACTGGGATTACAGGCATGTGGCACCATGGCCAGCTTTGAAAGCTGTAATTTAAAGCTCTATGTGTGCATTATCTAGAAGGTTCCCATGTAAAGGAAAATGAGCAAAACTGCACTAAAAAATTCCCACTCCTAGTATATCTTACCCTAGTCTACGGCAGATTATTGTGGTGTGGATATAGTTTAGGGCAGAATGTAGTGTTGGCTAGATTCTCCTAGACAAGTCATTGAAGACAAAAGAAAGCTAAAGGTTTATGGAGAAGACTGAAATCCCTCAGCCCTACATCTAGTTATCACTGAACTTCATTTGAAGCCCTTTCTGATGACCAGCCTTATCCACAGGTTTCAAGGCCTTGGTTTTAGGGAGGCCCATTAGAGAGGCAGGGAGTTGAGCTCACCAAACTTTGTATAAAGTACACTAAAATACTGGAGACATGCTTCTTACAGTAAGAGAAATTCTTTGTGTGTGTGTGTGTGTGTGTGTGTGTGTGTGTGTTTTGCTAGAGACTGAACCTAGGGCCCTGTACATACAAATCAAGTCTTTTATCACTGAACTTCATCCTTAGCTCTAGATCCAGTCTGTTACTTAGATGAGGAAAAACTGATGGTACCGCCAGACTTTCCATACTCTCTTCCCATCCCACTTCTCTCAAGCTTTGTTTAATATGTAACAACTTGTTACCAATCAATAGAAAAGTCTATGTATCTCAGAAAAATAGGCAAAGGACATATAAAAACTTGAAGGTACGTAAACATACTTTGGATACAGAGCTTGGAGCAATTGAGCTGGAACTGACCTGGAAGCCCCCTCCCTGAAGACCAGCTCTCATGGTGTCAGAAGATATTATGTAATCTGCCAAGGGAGAAAACTAATCCATGGTCCTACCTAGCTGTAAAGCCTAATAAACAACAATGACTGGGCGAGCAAATAATATCTCTACTGGGTACAGTAGTGGCATTTTTGTCTTGGGGGTAATCAATAGTAATCTGATTGGATTTAAGGCCTGCTCAATGGGAACTCATGTGGTAAATATAGCCAAGTACACATGACTGGAGATGGCATAGACCCTAGAGAAAAACCTACTTTTCTCATATTCCTAGACTAACGTAATTCTGTACTATATTCTAAATACATATCCTATATTTACAGACAAGTGTACCTCTCACCCATCAAAGAAGCTTCTTTTTGCAGCAGACGGAGACTATTATAAAGTTCCACCAACTCGTCAAATGCAGAGAATAAATGTCTGTGAGATGCTCAGCCCTCAATGACACATCTGCAATGCAAACTCTACATCTAAGACTCAGGGAACATCACAGAAGTGGGAGCAGAAAGAATGTAAGAGCCATAGGGACAGGATACCTGCTCTTACTTAAGGCATTCTAGACATGATAAGGAAGCTACACCAATAGAATCTCCACCGTTTGGTAATCTAAGAAAATCTGCCTATAATAACAAAACCAGTTGACATAACGAGGTGGATGGGGGAGATCTCAAAGGGTCTCACCTTAAGATGAAGAGCTGCAGGAAATCAATGGATGCTGAGGGAGGGAGAATCAGTTTTCTCCAGGGAGTAGCTCCCTGAGAGGTTTCTAACTCCAAGTGGACAGCCCTAAACACAGGTACACAGGACCTCCACTAAATGGACTCAGTGCAACATATATATTTATCTATACATACATGTGCATGTATATGTAACAATACTAATCAGGGAAGGAGAAAGGAAATTAAGAGGAAGTGAGGCAGCATGGGAGGAGTTGGAGGGGGAATGGGAGGGATGGAAATGGTGTAAAGTCTATACTCATGCATGATGTTCACAAAGAAATTTTTTTTGGTCTTTTTTGAGACAGGATCTCCCTGTAGCCCCAGCTGTCCTGGAACACACTATGGAGACCAGGCTGGTGTGGAACTCACAAAGATCCACCTGCCTCTGCCTCCCAAGTGCTGGAATTAAAGGCGTGCACCATCATGCCTGGCCATCACAAAGAATTTTTTTAAGTTATAAAGAAATGCAAGGGACAGCTGTGAAAACCATGTAACCAATGAATTACAGTAAAAAAAATTATACCAAACCATTTTCAGCTATTTAAAAAAGTGACAATTGACATGAGAGTTAGGAGTGCAAATGTAAGCCTATGAATTCCCAGAGTGCAAAATTTATTAAGAGCTGGGTATGGTACCTCCTGCTTGAAACTCCAGTGTTCTGGAGGCTGAGGCAGGAAGATCTCAAGTTTGAACCCTGCATGAGTTACATCAGAAGATCAAGACCAGCCTGGGCAACTTAGGAGATCTTGTCACACATGCACACACAATTTAAAGTGCAGGGGATGTAGCTCAGTGGTATTTGACTGTCTCAAGTCCTTGGGTTCAGTCCCTAGTACCTCAAAAAAAAAAAAAGCTGCCTTAGACTTATCAGGTCTTGTGACCTATAAGCCAATTTAAAGAAATATAATGTGAAAAACACAAAGCATTATAATGTTGTTAAACTTAAGAATTAGAAATGGCTTCAATATTTTTAAAATGAGACATTTTGACTATTTCTAGCACACTCATATGGTGAAATAGCATTTGATAATTAAATTCTTAATGGCCCTGAACAATATCTGCTATGTAATAAATGGAAAAAACAAGGTACTAGTTTGTATTTATAGCCTGAACATAGCTTTATAAAGATAGATAACATATGCCAATACATAATACATGTTTGGACTTAAAAACAATTTTATTTTAATTTTATGTGTATGAGTGTTTTGCATGCATGCATGCATGCATATAAGTGTATGATGTGCATGTAATGTTTGAGGCGGCCAGAAGGTGTTGGATCCCCTGGAACTGGAGTTATGGACAGTTGTTAACTGTCATGTGTATGCTGAGAACAAAATCCAGGTCCTCCGCAAGAGCAGCCAGTACTGTTAACCACTGACCACTGAGCCATCTCTCAGTTCCATATGCACACACACATATACACACACACGAGCAGAAATAGAAGAAAAACCATTAACTCTCATTATCTATCGGTGTTGGGTTAGGGGTAATTTATTGTAATCCTTTTTGTACTTTACTTTATTTCCCAAATTTTCTGCAACCACATGTACACTCCTTTTTTTGGTGGGTAAACATACATAACATGGAAGTAATCATTTTAACCGTGTTTTAATATGTGGATTATTGAATTAGAAGTTATGTTATTTTTGAAAAAGCAGCACTAAGCAGGCTCGGAGTTTTGTGCTTGCACTGCAGCTACACAAATGTGGCACTGATTTATCTGGATAAGGAGAGGAAAGAAGCAACATAGACAGATGAAACATTTAATGAATTGGAGTGGCAGAGTGGCGTGTTAGCATGTCTTGTTTGTTTTGAGATAGGGTCTCCCAGTAACTTGCTAAATAGAGCAGGCTGGTCTTAATCTCACCGAGATCTGCCTGTCTCTGCCTCTGCCTCTGCTGGGACGGAAAGGTGTGCCCCCTCCCCCATGTGCCGCTTTAAGTCAGCTTTGGTAAGTGAAGTTCCTTCAAACTTTTTGGTATTGAATAAGCAATGGCCTTAACTAGGCAAAGTCCTGTGGATGGGAAATAGGAACCCAGAAACTAGAGGAGCAAGTCAGAGTCATGTGGAGAAAGCGAGAGCTGGGACTTCTATTTAAAATTGTATGCAAATGGCCCCAAATTTATTTCCACACAGTACAGCACTTCAAGAATGTATTGTTCATATAAGGGAGGTGAGGGAGGCAATCAAGTCAATGGAAGTGAGCAGAGTTAAGGGAAGATACAAATCCTGCTTGGATTTGGAGCCTCTTCCCATTTCCTGGATGTGGCTGTAACTCCCTGTCAACTAGGCTAACTTTCTTCATCAATAGAAATTGTCTTACTTTAGGCCACACCTGTTCTTCACTTTAAAGCCTCTACTATTTTACTTTTGCCTTTATGGTTAATAGAGAACATATTTCTTTGAGTAATAGTTAGGACAGTGCATGGCCAGATGCACTAAGACAGCAACCATTCGAAGTATAGCTACTTGCTGAGGGAGCCAGGGACTATTGGATCCTTGCTGGCTATAGTTCCTGGCTTATTTTAGCCCTAGCCAGTCAGTTTCACAGAGGTAAGGAAAGAATGCTACGTCCTTTCTGTGGTGGCAGCAAGAAGAGGGCAAGTTAGTGGGCAGCGTTTTGCAGTGTCCTCCTTTCTGATGTTACAGGAGAGAGAACCTTAAGTGATATATCCAGGGAGAGAGGAGAGAAAAAAGAGACTCATCTGGAAGCTTCCAAAAACATAGCTGAGAGTCTCAGGCATGAGTTTAAGTGAGTAGCCCTGAGGTTAGCAGAGGAAATGCCACAGAAGAAATGCCTGAGACCCAGTCTGCATAATATTTTCATAAGCAGTCCAGAGCTCTGGGGAAACTTGTCATTATTGGGGGTGGGGAGGTGGAGTGGAGGGGTGTGAGGGTGGAGATGTGGGATGGGGGTGTTGGTGTTCTTTGTTACCCACAAACACTTCAAGGTACCCACCCCCCCAGTCCTCACCTGCATCTTTCTCTTCACCGCGTCGAAGGGAAAGGAGAGGGTCTGGCTCACAGCAGCAGCCACACAGACATTAGCAAAGTTCTGCAGGTGAGACAAGTGGTCCCGGGGTCCATTCCAGATTTTCTCCAGGTTCATGTAAACTAGAAGGGAGCCAGCAGAGAATGGGACAGCACCTGGGAACCAAGGACAGGGAGAGACTGTTGTCTGGGGAAGGAATTGGCTGGAGCAAAGGAATGCCAGTGGGGGATGCGCAAGGGAAACAGGCGGGTCCCTGGACTGTTTAAAACCATTTCAACAATGGAGCAAGAAGGCATTTTCCTGGGGTGTGTGGGGGGGCACACACAACACTATATGGTCAAAATGCATGAAATGGTTGGCTAAAGGTTTGTGCAGTTTACTGCATATAAATTATAGATAAAAGAACCATAAACAAATATTGAGAGCTGGGTGTGATGGTGCACAACTAATCCCAGCAGTTGGGAGGTGGAGGCAGGACGGTGAGTAGTTCAAGATCATCCTTAGCTACACAGTAAGTTTGAGACCAGCCTAGGCTATGTGAGACACTGCCTCAGGCAAAACAAAACAAAACAAAACAAAGTAACATCCACCAAATACTAAACTTAGATTCAAAGTACACCTGTGGAAGGGTTTAGAGGTAGCCGTGCACTGGTTTTGCAACACGCATTGAATTCATCAGTGAAAAAGATGGACTGATGAATGGCTCTAAGGGATGCACAGATATGTGATAAAGCAAAAATATTAACTGGGGCACTTCAGTGAATATGTGGGTGTTTAAAATTCTTTGAACTTTTTTGTGTATTTGAATTTAAAAAAACCCAAATCCCAAACCCCCAAAACAGAAACATTGGGTAAAAAAGTCACTTTTATGGGGTTGGATAGATGGCTCAGGAGTTAAGAATGTGTACTCACTTACAAAGAATGGGAGTTTGGTTACCAGCATCCATGTTGGGCGGGTAACAACTGCCTGTAACTCCAGCTTCAGGAGATCTAACACCCTTTCTGGGTCTCTGCAGGCACCTGCACCCATATGCACATACCTATACCCATACCCATACATATACATGTAATTTTAAATAAAAATCTTGGTCTCTAGTGAAGAAGGAAGCATTCTATGGTATTTGTAGCCATGGAGGTTACCTGAGCTCACTTGGATTGTATTAGGGCCTAGCAGGTCCTATACATTGTATGGCATCCTCACCTTCATAGTAACTGAGATGGTGAGCAAATAATGCATAGGTGGTACTCTTGCAAATTTCCAGAAACATTAGAAACCATCTTCAGTTTACAGGTAGACTAATTTTCCTTCAAAAAGGAGATCTAGGGCTGGAGAGATAGCTCAGTGGTTAAGAGTGTGTATTGCTCTTCCAGAGGACACAAGCTCAGTTCCTGACACCCACATCCATATCAGGCAACTCATAAATGTCTATAATCTCAGACTAGGGGATCCAATGTCTCTGGCCTCTGTGGACACCTGCACTCATGTATATATACACACAAACTCACACACAACTAAAAATAGAATAAATCTATAAAAAGATGTTGACTAAAGGGGACAGGGCCAGGAATGTAGTTCAGTGGTAGAGCACTTGGGTAGCATATGCAAAGCCCTAGGTTCTATCCTCGGTACTGCAAAAAAGCCAGTAGAATACAAGTGGGATATTGCTTATCTTTAGACAAATGTAGTAACTATTTAATAAACATATATTAAAAATGACTTGGCCTGGTGTGGTGGTACACACCTTTAGTCTCAGCACGTGGGAGGCTGGAGAAGCCCGAAAATCTCTGTGAGTTTGAGGCCAGTCCCAGCTACATAGTGAGTTCCAGACCAACCAAGATTACATAGTGAAACCCTGTCTCCAAAAACAAATGAACAAAAACCTCACTAACTTTCCACTTATTTTCATTCAAAAACATTTGGCAAAGCTAGGCATAGTAGCATATGCCTGTGATCCCAACACTCGAGAGGTTGAGGCAAGATCACAAGTTTAAAGTCAACCTTGCCTACACAGCAAGTTCAAAGCCAGCCTGGGCTACATGAGATCCTGTGTAAAAATAAGAATTGAAGGAGTTTTTGCCATGTGTCAGGTCCTAAGCTAGGTACTGGGAATATACAGAAGAACAGGTTAATTTCTGGAGATATTAACTGTCAAAGACAAGAAATAGGTAGGGAACATATCCCTGATATGTGCCATATAGTAGGTTACTCAAGATGCTTTATGTACACAAAGATTAGAGGGATTAATTTTGTGTATTAGAACCAGGAAGGAATTAACAGAAAAGAGAACTCATTCGCTCACTCATCCACCCACCCACCCACTTGCTCACTCACTCTCTGTCTCTATGTGTTGTATTAGGGATTGAACATTTGGCCTGTGCATACCACTGAACGATATTCCCATTCTCACTCATTTTTTTTTAAACTTCTGAAGACAGGGTCTCAGCAAATTACCTAGGCTGACTTGATCCCTATATTTCAGATGGGCCTTGAACTTTCCCTCCTTCTGCCTCAGGCTCCTGACTAGCTGGGATTACAGGCCTGGCATTGCCTGTGATTTTTTTTTGTTTGAGATAGGAACACTGTGTAGCCAAGAAGGTATGATCACCTGTCTTAGTCTCTAGAGTGTTAGGATTAGATTATAGGCATATTTTGCCACACCAGACTCAAAAGAAAGAACTTTAGAACTGGGTCTTGAGCAATGAGACACTTAGCATCTGACACTGAGAGAGTGGAATGGCAGTTCAAGCCAAGGCTATGCATGCCATCAGGTCCAAGGAGCATGAATCTCCAGAAGGCACGAGTTTTTCTGTGTGGCTGGAACATGAGTGTAGGTAGAGGCATGTTACAGGATGCGATGAGGTAGGGTAGACTGGCAGAGGCCAGAACGAATTTTGGCTTTCCTCCTTAGCTAAGAGGAAGTTACTGGAAGATTTAAGGACTGCAGAACATTTGGAAAGATCATCCCCATCTGGTAGCAGCGCACAGGGCAGACTGGGGCACAGGGCTCAAGTAGGGGCACGAGGCTGCAGGAGACTCTGAGTCTGAATTGTGAAAGTCAGTGAGAACAATGATGATGTCATGAGCTAGGGTAGAAGAGATGAGTATGAAAGAGGGGACAGCCTTATGCATCAAAAGAGGTCAAAGGGGCAAGGCTTAGTGACCCAAGTGGAAACAGTAAGGAGGAGCTGAGGTGACACCTGAGTTTCTTCTGTCTTTGGCCACTATGAGAAAGGAGGCAGTCTCACTCACTAGGGGACACAGGAAGAAGAGAAGACTTGAGACTAATGAGGACATCAGATTTTGTACCTAGGGAGCATGGAGGTAAAGGTGTCTAGGAGAGGTATGATGCCATTAGGAACTGGCAGAAGTCAGGGGCTAGGAGAGAGGGCCCTGGACTCATAGTGTTAGGTTATTCCAGTCTGTGTGACCTTGGGACAGTCACTTAGTTTCCGTATCTACTTCCTTACCTGGAAAACAAGGCTTAAGATGTTATTCAAAGGTAAAAGTTAGATAGCCCTGCCAAGGTGGCACACACCTGTAATCATAGCATGCAAGAAGATAAGGCAGGAGGATCAAGAGTTCAAGGCCAGCCTGGACTATGCAGCAAGTTACTTCATGAGAACTTGTCTCAAAAATAATGGAGCAAGTTCTCATGGCTCAGCATGTAAGAGCACTTGCTGCTTTTGCAGAGGACCTGGGTTTGGTTTCCAGCATCCACGTGGCAGTTAACGACCATCCATAACTCCAGTTCCAGGGGATTAGATGTCCTCTTCTGACCTCTGTGGGCACTGCACAACACAAGCACACTTACATACATGCAGGCAATACACTCATACACATAAAATAACAATACTAATATTTTTTTTTAAATGAAACAAGGTGGGTGTGGTGGCACATGCCTTTAACCCCAGCAACTCAGGAGGCAGAGGCAGGCAGATAGTTGTGAGATGAAGGCCAGCCTGGTCTACATAGGAGTTCCAGGCCAGCTGGGGCTACATAGTGAAACCCTGTCTCAACACAACAACACAAGGGGGCTGGAGAAATGGCTCAGCCGTTAAGAGGACTGGCTGCTCTTGCCATTGCCAATACCCACATGGTGGCTAACAACCATCTGTAACTATAGTTCCAGGGGATTTGATGCCCTCTTCTGGCCTCCTCCAGCATTACATGACATAAGTGCACTTACATACATGCAGGCAATACATGAAATAAATTAAAAATAATACAATATTTTAGAAAACATAAAATAAAAAATAAAAAACAAGTGAAGCAAACAATAAAAAGTTCAATATGAGGAATAATTGTGGTGTTCTACTGCTCAGCAATGGTGACTATAGTTAACAATTATACTGTGCCTTTCAGAGTAGCTACAAGAGAGGTTATTGATAGATTCATCAAAAAGGAATGATAAATGTTTGAGGTGATGGATATGTTAACTGTCCTGACTTGATCATATGCAGTACATACATGTATCAAAGTATCAAATGATATCCCATAAATATGTACAATTATGTGTTTATTAAAAATAAAAAGATAAAACTTGAATGAGATACTGCATGCAAATCTTCTGGCAAAGTACCCTGTACCCACTGAGCATCCCCCCCCAAACATTAGTCATTATTACTAAAGAGATTGAAAGTCAGAGTATGCTCATGCTTGTTCAAGCCACTAGCCTCAGATGGGGTTATCTAGGGAAGTGATGCAGGATAAGAAAACCAATGTGGAAGGCTGGATGTGGTGTTGCATGTCTGGAATCCTAGCACTCAAGAGGCAGAGGCAGAAGGAGCATTGCTGGTTTGAGGCTAGCCTGGTCTACATGATGAGTTCTAGGCTATCGAGAGCTACATAATGAGACCTCCCCATCTCAAAAAATGCTGATATAGAGGGGCAAAAATAAAACTGAAGGAGGAGCCCAGGGAACAAACACATGAGAGCTGGCAGTGTCAGATGACCTAATATGGGCCAGGTGCATTGGCTAAGAAAGATCTGCCAGAGAGATGTGAAGACACTCAGAGCACGGTAGAAGCCGAGTCTCCAGAGGACAGGGTGATTAATCACATCCAATGCTGCATAGATGGACGAAAACCTTCTGGATTTGGCAAATGGGGGCCCTGTGTGTGTATAGCTATGTCAAAAGCTAGCTACATACAAAGACCACTGGAGACCCAGTTGCTCCTGCTTATGGATATGCATACACACTGAAGACTCCTTCCTTTGCCAGGTTGTGAAGGTGGCTTTGCATCCAGGCTTTGCTGAGCCACTTGCACTGTCAGGACTACTCCCCTCCCTGGGGTATCACTGGGCAAAGCTTAGGAGTGGAGCATAGGGATATGGTACAGAATGAAGTAATTGGCTCTCTATGGATTAAATCCACACAACCTTGAGATCAGTAAACTTGATTTAACTCGTCATGAAGGTATATAATACCTTTACATGTATCAAGAACAGTCTTTTCTTAGGTGCAAAATTCCATCTTACCTAAAATGGTGAGGGACAGCCCTCGATAAAGGGCCAAGAACCCTTCTTGTTGATAAATAGTAGTAAAAGCATGAATAAGCCCCCTGTAAGATGGTTCCAGCATGTTCTGCACAATCAGGCGGGTCTTGATGAGATCTGTAGGGTATGTCACAATGGTAGAAACCATGCCTGCGAGACTTCCAGCCATGATGGAGCTCCACTGGGAAATATGACCCAGGTCATCTGTGAACAGCACAACAAACCTGGGAAAAAAACAGAAAGTTCAAGAAATGAGTTCTGGATTGTGCTAGCATGCTGTACACTACCTCAGATATTTCCTAACATTTGGAAGTACTTTTCAATGTGAAAATTATCATAGTACCATATTGGGATTAATGAGTACTAAATTTAAATACCACTATACATATATAATGCTAGTTAGCTATAAGGAAGAGCTGCCCAACCTTGGATCTGTATCTTTGCTGAATTCTTCCCACTTCACTTTCAGCACTTTCCCCTTTCATCTCCAGACCTGTCCAACTTGCCTGTGGGCTGTAAATGCACAGAAGCACTTGGCAAGTACTAAACTGGAATGCAATCTTTCCATCTTGTTGGACCTTAAAGGAATACAATTTCTTGAAATGACTGGAAATTCCAGAAATATCACCCTTCTCCAGTACTGGGAATGGAACCCAAGGCCTTGCACACACTAGGAATATGCTTATATCAATGAACTGTTCCTCAAGTCTAGCATTCTAGAAGTTGAGTTTTAAAGATATACTAGTGTAAAGCCAGGCGTGGTGGTGCACACCGTTAATCCCAGCATTTGGGAGGTAGAGGCAGATGGATCTCTGAGAATTCAAGGCTAGCCTGTTCTACACATCAAGTTTCGGGTAAGCCAGGGCTTTAGCTACATAGTGAGACCATGTTTCAAATACATATGTTTGC